CACACACCGTCCCACACAAACACACACCGTCCCACACAAACACACACCGTCCCACACAAACACACACCGTCCCACACAAACACACACCGTCCCACTCTCTCTCGCCTCTGTTTCGGTTGTCCGCGGCAACACCAGCACCCCTGAGGTCCAGTGCTTATGCAGCAGAAGCAAGTGTGTGTTTGTGTATTTGTTTCTGCTTTGTGCATCTGCGTGTGTGTGTGTGTGTGTGTGTGCGATGGCCGGGACAAAGCTTTGGGGGGCTTACGGGGCTTGTTGGTGAATAGAGGGGGGATAAAGCCAGTGACTGCAGGCTGCAGAGTCATGGCCTTGTGTGTGTGTTTGTGTGTGTGTGTGAGCTTCAATAGCCTCACTGAGCTGGGTCCTGTGTGTGTGTGTGTGTGTGTTTACGTGCATGTGTGTGTGCTCGTGATTGTGACTGGGTGTGTGTTTGGTTGTTCAGGAGCGAGGTCTGGCTTGCATCTCCCCTGCCTCAGCGAGACTATTATCCACACACACACAAAATAATACACAAACACACACACACACACAACTCAGGAGTGTGTTTATGCACTTTGCATGTGTGTGTCATTGCTCATACCTTCATCCTGGGTCATCAGGCTCTGAAAGAGACACGAAAAAGTCCAGTTGAGACACAACATCAGAGGATGTTTAATGAGAAGTCAGTGTTTCAGGGTTTTGTCACGTCTGTCTTTTTCTGTTCATCACTACATTAAAAGCATCAACACACAACGGCAGTGCTACTTTACCAACAACTTAAGTTTGAAAAGTTAAGTCTTGGTGGTTCTGGTGCTGGTCCAGTCAGCATCTGACGTCTGCATCGATGTGACTGCAGTTTAATCAGTGCAACTGAATGTGAGCCATTTTGTAAATCAGCTTTCAGGCTTTTGTTTTTAATTAGCAGCAGAGGGACCATTACTGCTTTTTTTTTTGCTCTAAAGAACAACATTGTGCAACTAAACATTAACAAACTACCAGCCGATTGTAAGAACTATAAGGTACTTCATGCTCTTCTACCTTCTGCAGGTCTTCTATCGAGCGCTCCGTCTCTTTCAGGCGCTCTCGAAGAACTTGCTCTTTGGCGGAGATCTGAGACTCCTCGCTCTCGAGCGCACCGATTTCAGACTCCAACCTGCAAACACACAGAAGAGCTCGTTGAGTTCTGCTCTGCTGAACTCTCCCCCGTGCAGAAGAAAAGGTGTTCTGTGCTGCTTTTCAACCCAGCGTGAAGGTAAACAGTCGGAATCTGTTTCTGGTCAAGACACTGACTCCAGAATGCAGTTTGTTCTCAGTCCCTCTTTGGTGCATTTACGGCAGCCAGGATACAATCCAGATGCTCAAAACACAAGAAATAACCAGGTAGAAAGGAGAGATTACCAACTTGTCTGCCTGGAGAGTCTCTACATCCCCATCCAGCAGCCTGATGAAGGATGTAGAGCAGCTTTACGGCTGCTACGTCATGCACTCGCTATTGAAAGAAGCTGAGGAATGTCTAGGCAACCAATTTTGTCTTTTTTTTTCTGAAGACATCAGTACTTTTCTCTAAATTGCACCTAAAATAGGCCTGAGTTAACACACACACACACACACAGCGTGCTCACATGGACATTTAAGAGATGGATGTAACAACAATACTAGGAAGCAGTCAGGGAGGAGGACCACGGTTGCTTCCTCACTTCAGAAACACACTCCTCTGGGAGATGAGGAATTTGTGCGTCAGTGTGTGCGAGTGTGTGCGTTTAAAAGAGAAATTAGGGTTCATAACAATGCCATCGACGCTCCCACAGTATTGAAGAATTAGTGAAGCTCACTTATCATATCGGTGACCATGAACGAGCTCCAGGACACGCCGTCCCGACCGACTGTTTACTGTTTGGAGGACGTTTAATCTGAAGCTCTTCACAGAAACACAAATAGACGGGTGGTTGTTTTTGGGGGGAGGATTTGTCAGTGCTAACAAAATCTTCACTGGTTCACTAGAAGAAAACCTGAAGCTTTTCACCAAACAAATCCACTCAGTCTCTGCTCCACCATCTGCCAGCGTTTCCGCTCAGGTTCCCCTTCAGCGGCGTGATGTGGAGGTGTTGCACAGCCACCTGAAGGCAGCACTGTGTCATTAGAGCGGCTTGTTGTCAAAGCTTTGATACCTGCGCTGTCCTCCATTCACACACATGCACTCTGAGACCCTAACCAAATGCTACGCTGCACATACAGTGAGCGTGCACATGGCGGTGGAGGCGGCGGGTGGAGCTGGAGCAGCAGTTGGGTTGTTAGAAGGTAGGAAGCAAACCTTTTGTTGGCTGCATCTGTCGCACAAATCTGTCGTCCCTGCCGTAGAAACTGGCCGAACAAAGCCTGAAAACAGATTCTCACGGGTCCAGTGTGTAGGATTCAGATGATCTATTGGCAGGACTAGAGCATAATATTCATAATGTTGTTTTTATTAGTGTATAATCACTTGAAAACATCAGCGGTTGTGTTTTCATTACCTCAGAATGAGACTTGTCCTCACTGCAGGTTTCTATTAGCCCACGGTGGCTAACAGTGAAGCCAGAGAGGCCCTTTTCTGGCTTTCCATTGATTACCATCCACATTCTCTCTACTAGGTGCTACTCAATCCCACGCACTGCTTCTTTAACAAATAAACTCGGCCTTACGTAACCGTGGCCTGAAGCCATTGTTGTGGATCACAATCATCAGCGCGGGTCGGGGTCGGTCAGCGCTGTTTGAAACGACACGATTCAAGGGTCCATTCAGCCGATTGTCCTTGGTGCAGAGAGAACGCAGCAAATATAGCAACGAAACATCGGCTTATTGTAAAACCACGGTCCACGCTGAAGAGAGACGGCTTCTTATCGGGGCGCATTGTCCGTTTTAATGTCACATGTGTGACTCATGATGAGGTGGAACGTTGGATTCATTTGTTGGGTTTATGTCAGCAGGTGAAACTCGCTGCAACCATGAATCTAACATTTTCTCCAACTTATTATCTGAGTGTATTTTGAGGTCTGTTATTTATAAAACATACATGCTCTATATTTAGCTCTAGCCTTGATGCCATGAGGACCATTTACCCAACAATGGACCGAGCACCACAATGTGTCATCAATTCATGTGAGCAGAACACTTGTGTGTCCCTGAAATTCTTCAGCAGAATGTCTGACATTATGATGTGACTGTTTGTCTGTGGGGCGACGTGTCCTGCAGCCAACACAGCAGTGTAGAGATAAGGAAACATGGGGAAAAAATAGAATGAATTGGGGCCAAAAGACGTGTAGGCAGGTTTATAGATCAGTCACTGTCATCAATGATTTCAGTGATTAAATTCACACCAGTACCACTCTACTCCAGTAATATACCGTAAAATAGCATTTTTTACACTGTAAACGGCACAGAAAAATGAATTTATTGGAATTGTATGAAGGTGTTGTGCACATTTTAAGAGTGCAGAGCAGCTAAAAGAACCCAATCTGCTTTATTATCCTTCCAAAATGTTATATTTCAGAACGCATAAAGCTGCTAACTTTTGAGGTGCCGCAGTGCAACAAATGTTTTAATGAAATATTATTACAGTGAGCAAACAAAAAGACTTTACAGTGCATCACGGAAGGAAGAACTAGAAACTGAAAATGTGTTTAAATCAATAGGAACAACATTTACTGACACTAAGAGACGTTTAAAGAGGCCAAATTTGGTTAAACCTTCAGAGCATCCATGTACATATGGACTAAGAAGAACTAAAGTCTGCTGCCTGGCTCAGGAAGTAGAGGATTTGTGTTTTATGTTATGTTCAGATTAGGTTCAAGATGCACACAGAAGAAGCTAGCTTTGAGGAAGCTAACGTCCTCTGATGAAGTTTAAAGTCATCACCTGGACAGGTAACCAGTCTATCACAGGGCTACACTTAGAGACAGACAACCAAGCACACTCACATTCACACCTACGGACAATTTACAATCACCAATTAACCTCAGCATGTTTCTGGACTGTGGGAGGAAGCCGGAGAACCCGGAGAGAACCCACGCTGCACGGGGAGAACATGGAGACTCCACGCAGGAAGATCCCGGGTGTCCTCACCGGGACGCCAACCACCGACCTTCTAGCTGCGATGCTAACGATGCTAACCACTGATCCACCTGCAGCCCCTAAAGTGATCCACAAGTAATGAATCATTTCCAGACAAGAAATGATAGAACGATAGAAGAATGATGATGGTACAAATACATCTTTTGAAACTGTCATTATCAAGAAAGATCATTTTCTAAACGTTCACGAGACATTTAAAAACCTAAAATGACCTGGAATTACATCATGTCCTCATATGGGTACTGATATGATATTAAACTGTCAAAAAAGTCGATAAATAACAAATCATCGGACCACTTTCAGCTTCATAACTAAACTTCCATCTGGATGTCAGCAAAGTCACTAAACTCAACAACACAACCCTCTGCTTGAAAATCAGCATAAACTCGTTTGCATCAAGCCCTCTTGTCTCTGCACCTTGACCTTCATTAGCAGTCGCCTTTCTCCTCGGCACCAAAGGCCTTTTTTAATTCTGCTGACCTGTTAATACCCGCCGATGCTGTTTTGGACCACAAGCCTGAAAAGCTGAACAGCGTTTGTCAGGAAATTAAAGGCTGGTCGGCCTCTACCTACAGTGAGTCTTATCTGACCCCAGCAGATGCCTTTACACCGCCGCCTCTCATTTAGCGGCTCTTCCCTCCACCTCCCCTTCTCATTTCCTTTTCTTTTTTTTTTCCTCCCCTTTCTGGCGGGAAATGGATTTTTACCTCCGCTTCCTCTGAGCTGTATGAGGTCTTGCCCAAATGGATGAGAAGCCAGAGTGGTGAGCGAAGGAGGACGCAGCTTTCTCGTCCCGCTCCATTATTACTATGTCAGCTAGTGTATTAATGCAGGCCAGCGCATAAGTGCATCCCTCAGAGCAACATCTATCATCTATCGCATCTACTGCACATAAATCCTTGTCAGTGACTCGCAGGCCGACGATAAATTGTTTCATCATAAACTCATTTTTCAGTATCTAAATCTAAATCAGCCTCTCTGAGTCTGACCTGTCAACGCTAACGAAGAATCACTACGATAGCCAATCACTGGTTCTGGTTCTAATCAGTTTACAGGCTGAAAAAATACAGAGAGAAGAGCAGGAGATCGATACAGATAAAGGCAGCAATAAGTAAGGACTCGGTAAGAAGAATGAAAGGAGAAAGTGTTCCTACAACGTTAATATTCCTAGAAAGTTAATATAATGTTTAATGTTATCAGGGGCTGCAGGTGTCTCAGTGGTTAGCATCGTTAGCGCCTCACAGCTAGAAGGTCTCCGGTTGGCGTCCCGGTGAGGACACCCGGGATCTTCCTGCATGGAGTCTCCATGTTCTCCCCGTGCAGCGTGGGTTCTCTCCGGGTTCTCCGGCTTCCTCCCACAGTCCAGAAACATGCTGAGGTTAATTGGTGATTGTAAATTGTCCGTAGGTGTGAATGTGAGTGTGCTTGGTTGTCTGTCTCTAAGTGTAGCCCTGTGATAGACTGGTTACCTGTCCAGGTGAACCTGCCTTCACCCTGAGTCAGCTGGGATAGACTCCGCCCCCCATGACCCTGGTGAGGATTAAGGTGTAGAGATGATGGATGGATGTTTTCAGGAACACGGAGAAAGGTTCTCCACCAATGTTCCAAACATGTTTTCCAGATGTTATTGAGGCCTCAGATGATTTTCTTTCACAAAACGTTAATTAACAAAGGTGGAACATTCTGCCTGCAATGTTCTACGGATGTTCTGGGAATGTTGTTAAGGAACAGAACGTTCTCTATAAAACATTCTCACAATGTTCCATAATATCAAAAAAAGAATGTTCTCAGACCAACATGTAATCCAGATGTTATCGAGGATGGTTTTACACAACATGTTGTTCCTGTAACGTGATATATCAAAGGCAGAACATGTTTCCTTTACATTGAGTGAACACCTTATAGATAAAATGAAATCAAAGAGAGGATGTTCTCAATGCAACAATCCAAAAACCTTTTCAAGATCTCAGATAAGAGAACGTTCTTTATGGGACGTTCCTGTGCTTTGATATCTCTACAGAGGTGGAACATTCTGGTCGTGATGCT